AAACAATGGTTGTCTCACCAACACCACTACCACCGCTGTAACCACAACTACTACCACTAAAACCAATACTACTACCAGTAAAACTGGCTCCAACCCTGAATATAATATTACAAATACTGATTCTAATACTACTACAAACACTGATTCCACTACCGCCACTACGAATATTGGTTCCAATACCACCGCTACAAATAATGGTTCTACCACTACCACTACTAATAATGGTTCCACCAATGCTGCTACTAATAATGGTCCTGACACTACAGCTACTACTAATAATAGTCCTGACACCACTACCACTACTGCATCCTCCAGCCTGACTCGAACCGTTGACCTTGTCTGTGGGGTTTTGGGAGCTTAACCAATAAGCTATAGGACCCAAACCCCTGGAAATATTAACTATCAAACTGACAAATGCAATATGGTACTAATATAAAATACAAATATAATTCTATATATTGTTTTTATAAACTACGTTACTAATAAGGTGAATACCTAAATCAATATTTTTCGTTCCCTTTGTGAGAACTACTAGCATCTTCTTTAGATTTTTTACTATTTTCAGCAGTACTACTGCCACTTGCAGCAGTGTTATCGTTATCTTTATATTCACTTTCCAATTCATCCATATTGTTATTATTACTATCATAATCGTCTTCATCATTTTCTTCAGAATAATACGAGATTAAAATGGTCCAGACGAGAGAATTTTTTAGTGGTGATTAGATTTATCGAATCATCTTTTATCATTGTACTACTGTTTTCTGGTATATTTTATTTTTGAGACATTTTCTTCTACTCGATCGGCTAGCCACAAAATTTTTTTAACCTGATTTACATAGAACAAAGAATTATAAAATAATATAATATATAATAATAATTATAACAATTATTTACCTTTCTGGATCTCCACAACTTATTGTAAACACGAAGTACATGATAATCGGTTTTTCTTTTTGATTTCGATTTGAAGCGAATTTTTAGCTGATGTTCCGATTACGCTCTTTCATCATTGATTTCTGATTTTTCGTCTGAATAGTAGTCGCCATCATTTATAACTTCTTCAATATCTGCCTAAAAATCCTCTCAACTCATAGAAGGAGCAAGGTTCTTAAGATTTTTATCTTCCATGCTAAGCAAATAACCAATGCTACAGATCTTTCTTCCTTTTTTCTATAGTTTAGTAAATTATTTATTAGCAATATCGGTTGATCAAAAAAATATTATTTGCTTATTCAATACTTATTATAAAACTATAAAAACTTTGTAAGATATATAAAACGTATTATATTTGTATTATTCATGCTTATAACAATGCTAGTGAAATATTAGTAAAACACC